CCGCCCCAGTTGGATTCGGTGGTTTGTTTTGAATTCTGAGAGGATGTGAGAAAAACGCTCTCCACACCCTAAGCTTGTGCCAGGCTTCGGCCTTGTCTTTTCCATTCATCAAGTTACTCTGACGCAAACTGGTTCTTTTTATCAACCAACTTCAGCAAAGACCCACGTGAGACTTCGGATTGCATCAAGCCTTTCTTTCAGACAGATGAGACTTGCAAGTATCCAAACTTAGTCTTATTAATTGATACATTAGGTATCATTTTCACCTTTTTACAAAGGTGTGTTTGAACTAAGAATCTGATGTTTCCCTCAGGAGTAGATCTGCTGAATATGCAAATGGTTCAATAACTTCATGTTCTTATTTCTCTTCTGTTTAAAGGGTTAAGCTTTAACCCTTTCCTATACAAACTGTGTGTGTGTGTGTGTGTGTGTATGTGTATGTTAGACGTGTTTATGTAGTATGTTGGACTAGTTTAAGTGTTTATGTAGTTAATAAAACCTTACTTGTATCACACTTGACGTGGTTCATTGTTTGCTCATAACTGGAGTCACTTAGTCATGCAGATTTATGCTACAAGCTTTTGTAGAATTGTACAGTAAGAAAGTTATTTCCCTTAACCAGGAAATTAACGTTCTTAGAATTGACAAGACAGTTGACCCTGAGAGGTCAAGTAAATATCTACAGCGGATCTAAAATATTCATAATTAATTATAACTAGTTATGATTAATTATTCATATTTCCCATGAGCTGATTCGTTACAACCTCAATTTTATAAAGCTAAAAGAATACTTTTTGTGCACAAAGAAAACAAAAATAATGACTTTATGAAAAATAATGTTCTGACGTAGAACCCTGATGCGCTGCACCTTGTTTGCAAGCAGATGAAGATGCACACTATACATAAAACAGTCTTCGTAAACATGTATGAAGATTTCGACAGCGAGGATAACTTACAATTTTTTTGCCCAGCCTTACTTATTCGAACCAGGATATACAGACGATGAACTAAGAGAGATGGGCGTTCTATGTCAGAATACTCCTGCATTAGCAGCTTTATCACATGCATACATCATGGTACTCTAGTGAACGCATCGAAGACTGACAAAAAAGTATTCTTGTAGCTTCATAAAAATGCGGTTGAACCACTGATGTCACATGGAGTATTTTAATGATGTCCTTACTACCTTTCTGGGCCTTGAATGTGGTAGTTCTGTTGCTGTCTATGCAGGGCCAGAAAGCACTCAAATTTCATCAAAAATATCTTAATTTGTGTTCCGAAGATGGTCTTTCGGGTTTGGAGGGACATGAGGGTGAGTAATTAATGACAGCATTTTCATTTTTGGGTGAACTAACCCTTTAATAATAATAACAATTTTAATTGACATCACTCTACATTTTTCACAATACAAACGAGGACAAATAGGTCTTATATATTTAGCTGCCTTCATATTTAAGGAAGAGGGTCCCTTACAAGATATCATATTTGTGGGACATCAACAAATTTCCATAGAAGGCTGTGTTGGGAGTGTGTCTGTGACACCTAAAGAAACTGTCTAGGTAGCCAGCTCACTAGACTTCTGATCCGTCTCTCCCTAGTTCATTTTGATTCCTCTCTCTCTCTCTCTCTGTACGCATGCACTGAGTGAGTGAGGAGCGTGGATGGAGAGTGCGTGACGGCGGTGTGAGGTACGAGTGTTTGAAAACTTTTTCTACCCTTTTCTATCTCTGGTTTTTGGTTTATATTAGTTATATTGAGTTTTTGGTAATATTAGTGAGAGAACGGTGTTTATTTTGGGGGAGTTTTTACTCCCAGTCTGTGTACTGGGAGTATGGCAGCTCCATGTGCAGAGAGTTTTGAGTTTCTAACGAGACGTCATGGTGTGAAAATCGATACTACTGTTAGTATAGAAGAGTGTAGTTTAGCGGTGAGTGTAGTAGTTGGGCATGAGAATGTTTTATCGGCGTCGTGAATGAACAATGCGGTTGTTTTGTTTGCTAAGATGATCGAACTGGCGAACTTGTTAGTAGACAGTGGTGTAGAGATTGGTGGTATTTTTACCTCAGTGTTACCTCTTTCTATGCCTTCAAAGAGAGTAACACTATCTAATGTGCCGCCGTTTATTAAGAACGAGGTTCTAGTTGGTATGCTCTCTAGGTATGGAAAACTGGTCTCTTCAATAAAGAT